GGGGTCCTCTAGTGCAGCGCAGCACAGCCCCACCATCAGAAAAAAAAAAAAAAAAAAATTCCTGGCCCTGTTTTTGCGTCGCCCGGTTCACCCGGGCGGACCCCCCCGGCCCCAACCGGCCGGGGTACGCCCGGCCGGGCGCCGGGGCAGCCTAGGCCAGGATGGTGTTTTTATACGATGAGTGCTGAGTCACTGCACTGCTGCTCTTGCCGGCTTCAAATAATTGCCATGAATCACGAGTAAGAACATGGCCCAGGCGAACTTGAGAATTGAAATCGACGCATGCCAAAAAGTCCGGAGCCTTGGGGCTACTGAACCAAAATGGCTGGCGGCGCCAGCCAAAAGAAAAAGAAAAGACGCAAGCCAAAAAGTCAGGAAATGCCATGCACACCAACGACAAACAAACCGGCGCGTGGCTCCTTTTATGGCTGGTGCCTCCAGGTAGGCCGGCTCCCAGAACTTGTGGCCGCATGCACGCCGCGCTCGAGAAAAATGGCTGAGTCTTTGCCATGAAAAAGTGATGTCCTATACCCCTCGACGAAAGGGACGAATGAATGTGCTTGTAGCTGAATTGGATAGAGCACCAAACTACGGATTTGGGGTTTGAGAGTTCGTCTTTCCAAGCATGGGCCAATAACTCAGTTGGTTAGAGTATATACGCCTGATAAGTGTAAAGTCAGTAGTTCAAATCTAATTAGGCCCAACGCACTGGTGGTTTTAAGGGGTGAATAATCGTTATAAATGATGAGGCCTGGCTATTCTAGAGAGGAGTTACGCAGCGCAGAGCTTGCAGCCTTGCTGGTTTGAAAAAGATTCTCATTCTCAGTTAACAAGGAGGCTTGGTGATGTTTTAGAGCGCTAAAACCATATGTTTGCAGGATAAGAAGAAGGTATGAGTGAAAAGAAGAAATCATGGTTACTGCGGAAATAGGCATCCGCCTGCTGAATCTCTCACTGGAGCGCGATGACAGGTATCTGCTGTCCTGGGTGAGATTTTGTGGAAGTCTAATGCTTGCAGTACTTTGATGTTCTTTTTCATTTGCCGTCTTCATGCTGTTGGCGTGTTTCCCGTGTGCAGCCGAGAATATGTACTGCTGCATGAGAATTCCGCTGGCTGATGGCATTTTTGCATGTGGGATCATAGTCTTCAAAGCATTGCTGCTGCGAGAGGGGCATCAAAGGTGGAGGGGAGAAAAACGCAAGCAGAAAAACATTGATGTTGCATGACTTTTAAATCCATGGATGGATGATGCGCACAACCAGAGGGAAACCTGCGTCCATTGGAGGGATCGGATGTGTTCTGCAGGTTTGACAATGGCGATTGTGAAGGGTCTCCAGGAGTCTGACGAAGGAGGTGGTTAAGGGGTGAGAGGTGTTTCTCTGGACCCACATCGACAACCTGCTATCGCTGAAGAGGTTCTTCACCGAATCGCGCCCCAAAACCCTTTCTCTCGACCACATTGAGAAGCTACTAGCGCTGAAGAGGTCCTTCATCGAATCGTGCCCAAAAAACATCGACTCAAAGAGTCGAGCCTAGACGGTTGTAACAAGAAGGATGTGAAGGAGGTGGTTAAGGGGTGAGAGGTGTTTCTCTGGACCACATTGACAAATTGCTAGCGCTGAAGAGGTCCTTCATCGAATCCTGCCCAAAAAACATCGCCTCAGAGAGTCGACACGGTCGTAACAAAGAAGGATGTGAAGGGTCCATTGACTCCATTTCAAATTCACAACAGGGGTCATGGCAGTGATACGGTGCCATCGGCAAGCTTCTTGAGCGGCGATCGGTTGGCATGGCAACCTGGTGCAGGTATTCTGAGATGTTCAGTCGTGAGCTTTTCCTCACTGCCAATCCAGTGGAATTAATGCATGCATGTATTCTACATTGTCGTCTACGGATGACGGGGATACCATCGGGCCTCTGAAATGGAGGGTGACGTGGCAAGAAGGTAGAAGTATGCTGCAAGGTAGTTGGACAGTCATGGAAGTAGTGAGTGCTACACCATTTCGAGCATATCGTGGAGGGTGACGCGGCAAGAAGGTTGAAGTATGCTGCAAGGTAGTTGGACAGACATGGAAGTCGTGAGTGCTACAACATTTCCATCATATCGTTGAGCTCTTTCCGCCTCAAAAAGCTAATAGTTTTGGCATGGAGGCCACAACATGAGTGTGATATACCTGTGCGCATGATATCCAAGCAGACAGCATCAGTCCAGTGCTGGTGTGATGGATGTGCGCCCCTGTTCACGAGTCCATGGTGTGCCCAGCTGCCATTCTCGAGCATGGAGCATTCATTGCATCTGCCACGCTGGTGTGGTCTGCAGCTGAACGGATACCCTTGCCTGCGTAGCAAGACGCTGGAGGAGTATGCTTGGTGCACACGTCTCCTTCCTTCCTTCCTTCCTTCCTTCTCCATCATGGAATGAACATGTCCCTGAAACTGGCATGGTGCATGCACACGAGCAGGTGAATGCTTGTCAAAAGTATGGAGGGAATCATAGCTGCTGCTGCTCCCACAGTATCTATGATAGCCTTCCATGCTGCATGTTTTACAGCAGAAGGTCCTTGCCACTGGTCCCCGAGGCGTGTTGATGCTGACAGATTGAGAATGTAGGGTTGTGCAGTGAGAGTGCTCGGAGCCGTCGAATGGGTGGGCGTATGTTGTCTAATCAGTATTTCACTATTTTGGGTCTGTAAAAGTTGGGTTTGTCAGGAAAAAGAAAAGAAAAAGTGTGCGCCGCATGCGTTTCGCTTGATTGTATCTGTGGCTTTCATGTTGTACTGAACTGTTGCACAAAGGGTCCTGTTTCATCAATTGAAAACTCACCTGTCGACAGAAAAAAAAAGGACTGGAGGTTGTCGTGACACAATCGATTTCTGCTCTGTGCATTCTACCGCCTTCCCTAATAGAACGTATTTGGGACAGCTTTCAGTTCACAGTGGGAGTTTCAGTCTACAGTGGGCCTGGAGGTAGTGACTGCCTACCGAACCCCCCGCCTGCGATAACATGCCACAGGCCTCTGGTCTACGTGAAGACGAAGGGAGGAGGTATGATTGGGGGGGGGGGGTTCTGGTTGCATTAAGTAGCACCATGCCATGAATGGGATTTTGAGTTTTTGAGCTAGGCTACCAGCCGGGCCGCCCGGGTCCCGGTGGCCAGCCCGTGCAAGGACCAGGGAAGATCCCAGCAAAAAAAAAAAAAAATCAAAAAAATCCGGAAAAAAACTATGTTATGCAGAAAATAAACTGAACAACTTTTGCCTCAGGGTCACATCGAAATTCTGCACCAAATTTAGGGGAAAAAATAAAATTTTTAAAAAAATATATATTTTTTAATTTTAAATGTTTTTGGCCCGGCCGGGCAAGTGACCCCGGGCCACTCTGGTAGCCTAGTTTTTGAGGGCTTTTAACGGGCTTTTAGCAGGCTCTTAAGGTCTGCGCTGTAACAAGAGAACATAGGAGTTATTTGGCTCAACTTTCAGTCCAGATGCAGCAAAAACTGGTGACAAAGACCAGTGTGGGAGATGAGGTCTACTGTATTCCCCTGAATAGAACGGAGGGTCATTATAAGCTGTATTTGGCTCAACTTTCAGTCCAGATGCAGCAAGAATGACCATACGTTCTATTCTAGGGAAGAAGGTAGTTCAGGTGGCCAATCTTGTCTTCACCTTGTCATCTGGACACTGCCATCTTCACGCAGACAGAGCACCTGGTCATTATTCCTGCATTTTGACCAGCTGGCTGTCCAGATAGAGGGATAATGATCGGGTATTTTATTTGTGTGGAAACGGTGGTAGTAAAGCTGTTGGCCGGTTATATTATGCCGGCATTTGGGCCACCTGTATGTCTAGATACGGTGATAATTACTGGGTGCTGTATTCGTGTGGAGACGGTGGTAGTAGGCCATCTGAGGGGCTTTCTGCATGGTTGCGGTCTCTGGGCATGAGGTGGAGTGGGATCTTTCTGTGATGCTCATCACCTCAAAGACTACCGTCTTCCCTAGACCACGACACACCGTGATACGGAATCTATACAAGCTATCTTTCCGGTCTGATGCAGTCAAAATGAGGGTGCAATGTGTTCGGGGGAAGACGGTAGGGTAATGACACTATCCATGGAGGGGGAACATGGAAACTTGTCCTCCCCAAGATCACGTGATAGGCCCAAGGTTTTTTGGCAACAGAAGGTTCGTCGACAAAGGTGTGATGAATGTGAGTGGGACCCACACCTTTGCACCGGAGATGCTACAAGCACAAGGAGTAGATGCTTGTGCCTGAGCATGAATGTATTATATGAATCTGTATCTGAGAACGCATGCAGAGACGTTTGACAAATATTTTCTGCATTCAGCGTTCAGCAATCTTTGCGCCATCGTAACGACTTCAGTAACCAGTGCAAATTCCGACGAGCCAGTTTTTAGATCCCTATTATTTCTCAGCGCCTTCTTCCCTGCCGAACATAACGAATGTACAGTCATTTCTGCTGCATCTGGACTGAAAGGCGAGTAAAATACGGCTATAATGGCTGTGCGTTCAACGGGTGATGTCAGTTGCCCAGGCATGAAAGCTGCATACCCTTTTTTCATGCTTTGTCGTCAATGTTCCATTGAGGCACCTGGTTATGGGCGTCGCCACAGCACTGTTGAAAGGAGAAACGTTTTCTTTTTGTGACTCCCGCTCAGTTTCCCCTTTTTACTTTTGAGCCCCCCCCCCCCCCCCCCCCCCCCCCCCCCCCCCCCCCCCCCCCCCCCCCCCCCCCCCCCCGCCTCAAAAAGAAAAGGGTGCTCAAGCAAAGGATCAATGACAGGCTGGCAAGGCTGGCAACTTCAAATTGCTTGTTTTCAAGTTCAAATTGCAGTTCCAGTTTCTTTTCATTCTCAACTATTGATTGATGTCGACCACATAAATTTGTGTGTGTCTTGTCATGTGTGTGTGTGTGTGTGTGTGTGTGTGTGTGTGTGTGTGTGTGTGTGTGTGCGTGTGTTGTTGCCTTCACAAATCATCACAAACCATCCATTGTGTGTGTGTGTGTGTGTGTGTGTGTGTGTGTGTGTGTTGTTATAAGAGACCCCAGATTATCTCTCTCATTCCCGTCACAAACCATCCATAACGAAAAAGTATAGATAGGCAATATAATATAAAATCTGAGGTTGGCCACGTTTGGGTCATACAGTGCCAAGTGCCCACACACCGCTCTGCCACCGAAGCGCCACACTTGCACATATACATATCTATGCATATATAGGAGGGACTGTTACCTATGACAGAAGACTACAGCAAGAAGTCACTGACCCAATGCCCTCAAAGGTCCGAAAAAACTTGGAGAGCCTCCCGAATCAGCCCACAAAACCTTTTTTTTTTTTTTTTTTTAAATATCCCCCTTCCAGTGATTGTGGTGCTGGTAAGAGCAGACACCACTAGCAGCTGAGGAGAGGCTCCATCTATTGGTGGGGAGCAACACCTGCCGGAAAACAGGTCCAGCGTGCCATATACAGAAGAAATTTGGAGTACATCAGGAAAAAGGAGCAGGAGACTCTTGCCAGCGTTGATTACTCTGGAATCCAGAGGATTGACTGAGCAGGAGTTTGGAAAAAAGAAAGTGAACCTCTTCGCCCTGAACCAGGCGCCAGATAACTGATGCTACAAACTAGTTCCTCTCTACCCCCCCCACCCCTGCCCTTTTTCCACCCAGTGCCAACTGCCAATCTCCAAATGTAGACCTCGAACATCAAAGGGACCAGCTTTTGCTTGGACTATGTTCTATGAGGCCAGCCTTTCAGCGCTCCTTGCCGTCCGTTCTGTGCTCTGCCCTTATTCAAACTGCACCGTCGGTTCCATACCATTGCAGGTCCACCATTGCTGACTGGTGGGGTGGGAAGAGATCGGGGAATTCTGTGGACGGTCGCAGCGGGAACTCCTGGCCCACCACTGGCCAGTCTGTGAAGCAACTACTGTAGTCCTTTCTAAACTCTCCCTGGTGGTCACCCTGGGTAGGCCTCCCTTCCCATCTGACGGAGGCAATCCAGCCCCCATTCTCGTTGCCCAACCAGTCCCTTGAAAATTGCTGGATTGTTTGTACTATATCTTTGGATGAGTGAAACAGGTCCAATTGATTCTTAATTCTTTGCCATTGTACCGTTAGTTCTTGTTGGACATATCGTTTTATCATATCTGTCACCTCTCCCTCCGCCGTACAGGCTCCCTCTATGGCATGTATACAATGTGGGAGAGGACCATGTCTCGCATAGAATGGCTTTCCAGTCCCAAGGCCATTTTGACCCTGTGTCCAGACAGGATCGGATTCTATCCCACCATCGCCATGTGAGGACTGCACCCGGACATTTCATGAATATGTGTTCTATGGTTTTCGGGATTTTGCAGGAGGGGAAGACAGTGTGGCACGCTTGGCATCAGGGTAACGCCTGTCCTCTCTACTCTAGATGGGTGCGATCTATCAACCAGTCGTTGGTGGGTAAGCAACGATGTTCTATCTGCCACTGCAATGAGGCCATCTTTGCTGGCCTGGCCCTGGTGGCAGTGAACCAACGGATAGGACGGATCACCTCAGTTCCTACATTTAATTGGGATCTCCATCTTTCCTTTACCTTTTCCTTAATGTTTACTTTGGGGCGCAACAGGTGGTGCATTGCCTTCACTGTTAGGTTCTGCAGCCTTGTCTTTCCCCGAGATCTGCGTTTCCGTGGGTGTGACCACTGCTATTCCTCGGGATCCAAGGGGAGTGACCAATGGGGTGTTTGACGGATATGCAGTCCATACATCCTTGTCCCGCAGTACGCGGATCCTTTGTAGTTTCTTGTTTTTTCCCCATCTCGTCACATCCGGGGAGTATCGGGTAAGAACATTATCCTTGCCTATGTGAAACGAGTAATCAAGGTTTCATCCGACCGCACGTCCACCACATTTCCCACGCTTTCTCGCCCGATACAGACACCCAGTCTCCTTCTTCCAATCGTGACCCTTTGCAGAGGATGCGCATCCAGTCCAGGGGAATTTCGAATATCAACCTCTCAAGGTTCTCCTCAATATTGTGACAGTATGTTAGTGTGTCCTTCAGTTGCTGCACTGTCTTTCAGTCCCTCGTCTCTGCGTTCGAAATGTCTTTTATTCGACTAACGCCTTTTTTAACCTAGCTACACCACAGGGCGACCGAACTGTTGAACACCATGCTATATCGATTGGTGATCCTCGTGTTTCCAAACAGGGGTTGGCGCATCAGGAAGGGGGATTGTCAGGAAGAGGGAGTTGGCGCTCGGCTCTCAGAACCCTGGCCCAGAAGTCGTCCCGGGCCAAGTCCTTCCGGATTACTCCTCCATTCAGTTCACGACTGCGCCGAGTGTGTCGTGGCACAGTCCAGAAGCAGTATTCCAGCCAGGTCAGCGGGTGAACGTCATGTGGTGCTTGCGGGGCAAGTCTGGCCATCTGTTCTAGTGCCAGGGCGTACCATGGAAGCTGTTGTGCGAAGAGTAAACCAGCACTCCCCCCGCCACCAGAAAGTGCCGATTCCTGTGAGTTAGGGGCGGGTTTCTCGGCATGTTGGCGTTTCGGGGTGGAGTTGGGGGGGGGGCAGGACCAAAGTCCCAAGGTGGTGGAGGTCAGGACCTTTTCCGGGAGGTGTTTTGGCGGTGGATTACGGCCACGGCCTTTCAAACGGTCCGCCTGGTCCAATGCGTGGCCGGCCCCATTGGTGGGAAAGGAACATTTTTCGCGAATTATTGGTGAAAATTTCATTTCCCGCCTGGTGTTTGAGATCGTAGAATATATTTCACAGTCTTTTTTTTTTTTTTTTTTTTTTTTGACGTCTTGAA